TGTAAATAAAAACTGTCACTTATGGTCAAGTACAACTTCAAATTTCATAACTCCAATATAGATGCTAAGCATCATTAGATTTGACGTCAAAACTAACAAACGGGAGGGAGAAAGGCCTGAACTTTTCAGCCAACGCTTTTTGTTTGAGAAACCGGACTCCGACCTGTTAACGATACAATCTAATCCATTAGCAGTTTATTTGGTGCTCAGATTTCATAGATAGTGAAAAATATGGGTCATGACTGTTCTGACACAGTCATCAAGATCACCGAGTTTTAGTTGTAGTATACAATCAGTATAGTTGAAGAACTGTTTTGTTTCGTGGGTTTTTGTAAATACTGTACATGTATCATTAACATATTACTATAATTTTTAAATTCACAAACGAGATTCTTTTTCCAAATTGACTTTTGCCGTGTGATTTAATGACTCTGTGTTATAAATAAAACAACAAATATATACTATCCGTCTAACAAATAAGATTTTTTTCTAACCAAATTATTTCAAATTTCACTCGGCTCAGCAACAACTACTGCCAAAATTTTACAACGACAAAAAGTTATAAAATCTTCAACTGGAGCCACATCGCTGTGGTGTCTGTTCAAGATAATGATCCGACAGGCGAAACAGACACCGCATGCAGATTCGATTTAATGTTCATTTCACCACTAAATACATTTCCATTCCCGTCACGAGCAAAGCTTGTTACACAAAAACTGTTTAATAACGAGTTGTATATCTACACAATGCAGAAGGTTTTTTTTTTCTTGTTAATTTTACAGATATCAAATTCGTAAAGAAATCAATATTTCTGTTTCTATGTGTTGTATTCTTCACATTTCGGTTATTTCCTTCGGTTATGTCTGCTTTCGATAATGTTTCGAATTCTTAAAGATTCAGCAATATAGCTGAGTGAATGTCTAGATGGTCTAAAAGAAATCGACAATCCTAAAACTTCGAATATGACTTTCAGCTATTCGAGTGAACATGCCGCGTTGAAACATTCACTACTCAAAGAGGGCTCCCTTTAAATTCTAAAAACAACTATGATATATTTTAAAGTACAGGGAATCAAATAAAATCCGTTTACACTGTAAAGTGCCATACAACAAACCTCTATATAAGTGTACATTGAAATCTGGACATTAAATTGAAATCCCGTGGTCCACATTCCTCCTAAATACCTGTCACTGATAAGTTGTCAAATTTAAAACTCTAACCACTAGAAAAATATCTCCCCCGCAAAGTGCAATATGTGGTCCACATTACAACGTGAAATACTGGTTTTTTTTATAGGAATCTATAATAATACGAAGGGTATTGTGTTATTTGTATAACTTGTGGAGATTTCGATATCCGTTAACGTATTGGTCTTCAAATTAGATTATATTTAATTATAGCGTCAATCTCTTCTTCACATTTTTCAAGGTTTGTTAAATTCTATGGCAATTTGAAAGAATGGTAAAACGTGAATTTTGATCAAAAGCACATAAAATCAAATACAGTAGTTCAGTTGAGAAAATGCCATATGCATTGCACAAGGATTTAAGATCGCGGAGACTCAGTACAAGGGAATTGGGTGCACAAATAACAATGCAACATATGTATATATATATAGATAGGTAGATAGTTTTATGTTTCATACACACGTCTCTGATCTCATCAGACTCGAGACGATATTATATAATAACTATTGGCCCTGACGGGCTTGGAATAAGCGTAGTGCTCGGTTATATGAAACACATCTAGTTGTAGTTCGAATTTGCGGAATGGGCAGATATTGAACCCGCTCGCAATCACTCCGACAAATGGAAATGTGATTTACAATTAGGAAACAAGAACAATATGTGAATATCACTGTATCCTGAAAATTAGTGCAAACTTTTGAGAATTATATAAAAATCATGCATTTCTCGCGACTTTTTCATCAACCACTATAATCGGAGTCTCGAGAGTGCTCAAGATAATGACAGAAGTTCAGTTACTTTATTTAGTTTACAGTTTTTGTGGTCAGAAACTTCCGCTAATTACCAACAGATAGGAAACGTGAGTATACTTAGTCTGACTCACTCAGAGTAAAAACACTCCGAACTGATGCTATGACTGTCTTATCTAAAACATGCCATTCCTGTGTATCAACTGACGACTCGCTGTCGTCCGGCTTTACACAGGTCATCGCCGAGATCAAATAAATATCTACGTCAAATCACGTATAATACGTCTTTAATTAACATGTAATTAAATTTTCTGAAACATCCATTTTCTCGGTGAAATCCGTAAATCAGTTTTAATTATGGAGTGATTATACAAAGTTTGATAGTATGCTGTTGAAATTAGATGTTTCTTTAAGTCACACGGAACTTTCTCTTGACTCGTTGTATGGGTCTTCAGGCCTGGGGTGGGGGCATGAGGGTATGAAGGCATTTCCAGCGAAAATAGTTCAGATCAAATGCTGTTCATTCTATTTCTAGTTCATGATATGAAATGGAAATTTCGATTGATTCGAAACATGTGTTTCCTCATGTAGTATGAACACCTATCTGTCAAAATGTCGTAACAGTTTTGGAGTTGAGGCCTGATGAGACCGAGACTACTTGCTACAGAAAGATTTTTTTTACACGAGTGTAAATCAAATGTCTACTTAAACTTAATTAAATTTAAAAGTGATGTCAATTTCAGCTTTCTTCAGTGCTGAAAGACTCGTTACTGCTATCATAAGCAAGTAATTACATAATGAACACGTGTACATCGCGATGGCTAATGACGCATCACGTGACTATACCACCACAGTGTTACTGTATATTTAGGTAACCTAATTGGATAATTAAATTATCGCAATAATTTTGCATTTTCTGACAACGGAGAGTGTCAAAAGTCCTCAAACTGTAAATGATAGGAACGTGTTTCTTTTCTCCATTGGCATCCGAAACCAGTCACCACCTAATTATAAATAATCCTCTAGCCTTTGTCTAATTACGCTTAACGTTTGTACTAACATCTGTAAGTTTGTATAATTATCATCAGAAAAAAGACATGCGAAAACCACAGAAGAAAACAAGTGTAATTTTCTGACAAGCTGCTTTCATAAAAAATGGCAGTATGTTTAGGGCCTGTAGGCAGGTATGAAAATTGCATATAACGATCTTATTAGTTCGTCAAATTGTGGATGCTGGTTATCCTTATTCACGTACAGTTGTACAGACACGTGTATTTTACAGTCCCGCGTACCTATAACTTTGTAATCACGCCTTAAGTATATGGCTCTTATTACACAACGCGTTGAATAATAATACCAAAAATATGTCTGACACTTCTCGCGCTATGAAACCTTTAAATTGTCTAGATTATTATGCTGGGAATTTAGCCGATAAGTCAAAGGTGATATAAAACTATGAATTTGAGCCAAGTTATCTACAGTTCGAGTGGACAGATAAAACACTGACCGGTGACAAAACTACTCAACGAACCGTTGTTGCTACCAGGAAAATTGGGATGTTTTCTCATATGTAATATACATACGGTCTCGTGTACAATGCCATCGTTGTACATTGTATAATTTTTATTAGGCGTTTATGACCGACAAATATGTTAAATCTGCCACTCCTCTGCGATCATGTATATATAGGTCATCAGGTGAGAACACATACCTGTAATATAGACTACAGGTAACACACAGGTGTGTATGCTTGTCTAGCGGTATATGTACTCCGGAGTCCGGACGATACTAACAACCAAAAAATGTGATAGAAACAATTCGCATGCATGTTTTTATTGAAAATGTCAATTTACATAATCCGGAAGAAACGAATGACATTCTATTTCTCTTAATCCTCAGTCACCGATTAACCCATTAAGATGTATTTTAACATGGAACAATATAGAAAGATTATAAATATTATTGTATCAAATCACGACTAAAATAGCTCAATTATTATTTAAATTGTAACAGCAGAGTTCCAAAAAAATTACAAGTTATTTAAATCCCGTCTCCAATACTGAATGTTAACAGTTTGGTTTTCTTCAATATTAACCTACTTAAAGCTAGTTTTAATCCCTATTTCAAATTTGGCTCAACTTGGGCGAACAGAATAAGGTATGTTTTGCAAATCATACAGCTATATGGACGTACAAATAGGGACTTCTGATTACGACCCCGAATGAAAAAGTATATTTCTTGCAAAATAAAGCGAAATCGACAAGCGGTTTGGATTTTCCCGAATCTGTTCCGTGAAATGAACATTGAGTCCAGTATCCAAAATTTTAAGCATTATCTGTACTTTATTGGCGGAGTGATCGACTGCTATTATTAAGCTCTACAGTATACAATTATCTATTGTTTGACCTTTTGCCCTGACGTACATAATGACTTGATAACTCGTCGATAGTGCGTCTGGCCACGGTTATACATATAGTCGACCAAGGTACACAAATGTAATTAATCAAAGTCATTGTAATTATAAACCTATTGTTTACAGCTGGTAGTTTTCAGACTAATTTCCGTGACATTTGTGGTATAGATGATAATGATTTAATAAGCATTAGTATGGGGGGGGGGGTGTATCACAGAAAGGCCCCGAGACTGGGGGTTCGCCGATATAAGACGTGCAGTGCCGGTCCCAATTGACAAATCTATTTTATCTCGATGTGTAATCATTCTAGGTAATACGAACTTAATCTTGAATGGACGCGTTTTGTAGGATCTCATGTAATCTAGTATTTTTATCTTTTGATAGATAAATTAACAAATGGGTAATTAAAATGTATGGGGTGAACTAATACAACTTGCCAACTTTGTGGAAATCTATCATATACAAACCTATTTCCTATCTCTCTCGTTCCGTCATACTGCCCCCTTTCTTTCAATCCACTTGTTGGACCAACAACAAATAACATTGATTACGATGGTCAATATACAGAACTTAACAACGTTTCCCAATAACAGAAAATTCAACAAAACTGTATTGTGTCCTACGAGCCTTAACACTAAATCATATACTTACATCTTTATGTTCTCCTTGTACGTATCGTTTGATGAGGGATGTTTTCCCACACCCACAATCTCCAACAACCACAAGTTTAGATTTCACAACCGTTACAGTTGAGGCTGCCGCCTCGGTTTCTCCTCCGTTTTGACCCATACCTGGTCTGTGTATTTTAAATCCAGTCGAAATTTTCACAATTGTAACGCGTCTCAAAAGGTGAACTGTCAGAACTAGCAATCCGTCACAACTTTTAACTCAACTTTACGTGTTTATAAATCTCCGTACTGCTCGCTCGGACTCCACGTGGCTACCAGTACTGTCAAGGCATTAGGCAATCGGGATACTTCATACTCCACCTACATTCCTCAAGTTGACCACAACTTTACATAGTAAAGGTAATTTGTGGTTTTTCTGGGTTGCTAGGACTGCACCCGTGTAACTAGATAGTCTTATAATCACACACGCCCGTCACATTCATCGATTGGCCAGTCATCCGTCTCACGATTATTGCGTTCAGCTCACAGCTCGTTCTGTGTAGTAATGCCTAGTCAGTGAGAAAAGTCTGAATGACTTAAGTCATGTGATCAGTCAATCTGGATCCACCAATCAGATTGCGGGTCATACTGGGTCAATTGCAGAATTGTAGAAAGGCTCACAACAGGGCTTTTGATTCTATGGCTTGAACTAAAATTTTAGCAAGTGTAGCCGTTTGATATTTATTCAACGGAAATGAAAGTAAACCATTTAGAGTATTCGCGGAAGCCCGACATTAATCATAGGTATTTATTGTATAGTTCAATTAAAAAATAGGTGAAAAAGTGTCACTTATCAAAAGCGGGCCTCATCCGGCCAAAATAACAACACAATGATGGGTGTTGTTACACAATCGAGTTTGTGTGAATGGGGACCGATACCTGGTGGGGTTGATAGATATTCTATGTGTCATACACGGGAGCGAAACAATGTAATATTGCATACATGTTAACGGAAATTCAACCGTTATAATAATGATAATAAATAATTATAAATGTTTTCATGAAAATGTTGATACGCTCGTCTAGGACGATCTGGAAATCTTTCCACCGACCGAAATGTTCAAAATAAAACCACTTAACCATCATAATGACATTGAAATTACATAATAACATTTTCTTGATTATCAATTTTATACTTTTTCAGCTACCATATAAATACAGTTACAGATCGGTAATTTAAGACGATGATTTTACGGATGGCAGACGGCCACGCCCATACTATAAGATTACGGACACTTCGTTGGTCATTTTTTCCCCTCCAACTTGATAACACATTAAGTCGTGGAGTCGTCTTTCAGTGTCACAGTATTTACTGTATCAGACGTGAAGTGTCGAGATTTTATGTAACTTGACTATAAAGAAGTAGTAACACATGGCTCATTGTTATACTGTGTTGACAATATATATTTTCATTCACAACTCCCCCTGGACACTAACATGTGTTCTAACAGTTAGCTGACAATCAGTCTGGTCGTATTCATGATAAATGGCTTAATATAAAAATTGTCATGTAGTATTTCTACCATAAAAATGTCAGAAGCCTGCTTTACCTGCGGCGACGCTGCAAGGAATTGGCGAGAACCAGAAGTGTATAGTTCCGGTGTCCTCGGCTGTAAACTAGCGATCAACGATTTTACCTTATAAATTAAATACGTTTGTACAAATTTGAGAAATATCTAAAGATACTAGGAAGCTAAAACAAATAAGTACTATTTAGATAGACCATCTTTCTCGCGTGACGCTGTTTGCGGCTATATATAATGTGACGAAGTTAGAGGTCGCAATTAATTAAATTTTCGCCAATTACATTTTTGTTTAGATCTATTGCTATACAGGTAGATATCTGTAAACAGTTAAAGTCACAATTGGCGCTAATAAGTCTATAATTAATGACAATTTCTTTATTTAAGACATATATGATACTAGCATCGACATAACTATGATGGCAACTCCAACAACAAAACAACTTCTTGTTACAGTTCTTTTGTTTCCTGCAGATTACAACAAAGATAATGACATCTGCATCATTTCCGAACACAACACATTTACATTAAAGTTATATAGGATTGAATTTACAATGAAATGTCCACATAGTAATCAAAATAACAGAATTACAGACATATGATGATATTAAGTAACAGTTATATCAAATAGATTTACAAGTTTTACACAACTGTTATAATCCATGTGCACAAATGAATCGATTCTTCTCCACCTATCTTCTCTCCTGATTCCACATATTATTCTTTCTTCTGTCATAAGACTGGTTAATAGAACGAATTATAAGTATTGTAGGCATTCAAAAGTTGTCTTTCCTGGTACGAAAGGCAAGGGATATGATAGATTTACGATACGCAAGACCGTTAAAACAGTGATTTGTTTTAACAATGACGATTACAACTTGAGTCGGTTAAAGGATATTAAGTCATATGTAACTATCTTTCTTATTTCTACTTTTTTTTGTTTACTTACTAGTATGGATATGTATATGTGTATTCGTACTATAATCTCTCTCTCTCTCCCTGCCTCACTCTCTCTCCCTGTCCCTCTATGTCTCTTTTGTCTCTATGTCTCTCCCTGTCTATGTCTCCCTTTCTCTCCCTCCCTCTCTCACTCTCCCTCCCTCTCTCTCTCCCTATCTCTCTCCCACTCCCTGTCTCTCCTTGTCTCTCTCTCTCTCACCCCGTCTCTCTCTCCCTGTCTCTCTCTCTCTTTGTCTCTCTCTCTCTCTCTCTCTCTCTCTCTGTCTTTCTCCCTCCCTGTCTCTCCCTGTCTCTCTCTCACTCCGTCTCTCTCTCTTTCCGTGTCTCTCTCCCGCTCTCTCTCCCTCTTTCTCTGTCTGTCTCTTTCCGTCTCATTCTCTTATCATAATATACATGTAACTGTCCATCTTGTTTTGTCATTGTTACATATTAGTGGACTTAATATAAGTTACTTGTGCCCAATTCCATTATCTATATTTGATGCCAATCAGATATGTTTAAACTAAACTCAAAGTAATCCTAAACACGAACACAATGTAACATGTACATTAATACTTTCATGTGAGGCATGATATCACATTATCAATGGTTTAATTGGGATTATTTTTATAGACATCAGTAATATTAATCTGAATTCATTTACATTTTTCTCGTTAAGAATGAAAGCCATCCGACCCCGAAAATAATGTAAAAGTTCTTGATCCGGGAGGGAATACGGATACACATTTATAGTACCCGCCTTGTTTATGTTTGAAACAGAAGACCACAACTTATCAACTAGGTTTTCATTCTTGCACAATGTGAGTTAAAATATCTAAATATACAAAACCACATTTTTGACACTCCTCATATCATTATGCTATATTTAATGTTACAAAAGGTTAATAAAATTTGAATTGAAACGGCAATAATACCATATATATCAAGGGAGGCAACCCGTACAGAAAACTACAGCTGCACAGAGTGCGCTCCTTTTAATTCGTAAGTATTAAGTTGATAAAGCGAATTTTAAACAAGCCGTCTTTGCCTTAAAAGTTAAAATTTCAAATGACCATAACCTACTGTCGCTGTTAATTTTTTGTAAATTTAAAGTAAGAATAGCTAAAGAAAGCATTTGAGTGTCACCAAAATACATATCAAAAAGAGTTTTCTGGTAAGATATTCCCATCTGTTTCTGTGATATTTTGAATACAACTTTGCGGATCGATAAAATGGCGAATTAATACTTCCGATAGGATATTTCACACACACATGTAAATATACAAAAAAACACATGTTTTCTTTACAATAATCGACAAAGTTCTATGGGTAACTTTTGTTTTCACTATATCGCTCTTGCCACGAGATTAAAATGGTGTCACATACTGATTAATCCGGACCGGATTTATCAAAATAAACCCCAGGTCATATTTCATAACAGATTTTTCACACCTGTTAAAGTTGGTGTCTGTTTCACATGTCAAACTATCACAAATAGTTAAAGTATACAAATCAGCACACGTATATAAACAAGATATCCTGTTGTCACTACATGACGCGGTAGCTTGACTAGAACAATCAGGGGTTTGACTATCAAATCTGATCAATACCCTACAGGTGTTTGTTTAACAACTGCCACATATTGGAGATTTTCATTAAAACAATAGCAAAAAAGCAGAAAAAATGGAAAGTCGGAGGGAGTGGAGGAGGGACTTACGAATACATATAGATAAAATGATAACATGAGCATTTGCCAATTTTTCTATCAAAAGTGGAAGAAAAATACATGTTAACTACGTCACACCATAGAAATGAGATCAGTTAAAATTAACAGAAAAAAAGAAAAACAATAAACAAATACTGACAGAAAAAAAAACACAAAAAAATTAATAAAAACCAAAAACAAAAAAGGAAAAACAAAATTAAGGGAGACCATTAATAAGTATAGGTTGAATATGACCAGGTGTTGCGGAAGGGTCAACATTTCCTACTGAATCGACGGTATACCCATCATATACTTTTGGACCAATCCAAGGAATAATATGTTCTAAAGTGCAAATTTGAGAGCAACACCATAAACGAGCATCGAATACAATGAACCCTTGAATTGAGAAAGAAATTCAGCGCCAGGACACTCGACGCCGGAACACTCGACGCCAGTACACTCGACGCCAGTACACTCTACGCCAGTACACTCTACGCCAGGACACTCGACGCCAGGACACTCGACGCCAGTACACTCTACGCCAGGACACTCGACGCCAGTACACTCTACGCCAGGACACTCTACGCCAGGACACTCGACGCCAGTACACTCTACGCCAGTACACTCTACGCCAGGACACTCGACGCCAGTACACTCGACGCCAGTACACTCTACGCCCGGACACTCGACGCCACTACACTCTACGCCAGGACACTCTACGCCAGGACACTCGACGCCAGTACACTCTACGCCAGGACACTCGACGCCAGTACACTCTACGCCAGGACACTCTACGCCAGGACACTCTACAACAGGACACTCTACGCCAGTACACTCTACGCCAGGACACTCTACGACAGGACACTCGACGCCAGGACACTCGACGCCAGTACACTCGACGCCAGGACACTCTACGCCAGGACACTCGACGCCAGGACACTCGACGCCAGTACACTCGACGCCAGTACGCCAGTACACTCGACGCCAGTACACTCTACGCCAGTACACTCGACGCCAGTACACTCTACGCCAGGACACTCGACGCCAGTACACTCTACGCCAGGACACTCGACGCCAGTACACTCTACGCCAGGACACTCGACGCCAGTACACTATTCCTGTGTTCTTCAGTTTCTTCGTCAGCTATCGACATCCAACACGGATATCGTGACCTTAGAACATGGAATCTGTCATTAGTTAAGTAATACCTCCCATTATTAGTATCAGCTACACATCACACACCTGTCGCAAGGACTTGGATCGATCTTCTTACCCTACACAACCCTACATAATCCTACCGATATATAAAT